CGTGCCGAGCCGCTCATCGCCAGGGTTTACCTCAGGCCTCGCTCATGAGCCAGCGCGATGGTTTTGCTATCATTCACCACGCTGCTCCGCTGCCGGTTCCTTCCATTTTGTGTGCCTTTCCATAGGTGCTTGCGGAGTCTAATCCTGGCCGATACGGCTTCCTCTGGCACTGGTTTGACGAGATCTACGTCCTTCTGGATTTGCTGCTCCAGCAGCACTATCTGGCCAGGTGCAGCGCCTCCTTTTCTGAGAACTTTTATAGCTTGAAGAGGATACCGATGGGAGACCATGGGCAGCAGCCTCTGGCCACTGCTGGCCTTCCAAAGAGGCAGCACTGGAAGTCTCTCCTCTTGCTGGTTCTTGTTCCTTACCTGAAAGGAAAGCTAGAGAAACTGGTGTCCAGCCTGAGGGAAGAGGATGAGTACTCCATCCACCCTCCGTCGTCGTCCTGGAAGAAGCGCTTTTACAGAGCGTTTCTAGCTGCCTACCCCTTTGTAAACATGACCTGGGAGGGCTGGTTTCTTATCCAGCAACTGTGCTATATCCTCGGGAAAGCTCAGCATCATTCACCCATGTTGCGGCTGGCTGGCGTTCGCCTGGTCAGACTGACTGCGGAGGATATCCAGGCCCTGGAGGAGAAATTGGCTGGAGCCACCTCAAGTCGAACACAGAGGTATGTCAGAACATGGCTTAGCAGCTGCTTTCTAGGGGGTTCGTGGGTGTGTTAATTTAGAAGTGATGCTGCAAGTAAAACCGTCTTGTTCTCCAGGAATTCTTCAAGATGAAGTTTACCTCTGGCAAAATGTGCTCCAAAAGGGTGTACTGTTAGTATAAATAAGGAAACAAGAGCAGGGATTAGTTTCATAAGATTTTGTGGTCATAAAATTGCCATGCTTGCGGGTCTTTTTTGGCACTCCAGCCTTTATCCTGTTCAGTCTTCACCTGCACTTCTCTAACAAGGGAAGTAAACTGCAACAATACTGCTAAAAGGACTCAAACTTAGATTGTTGATTTTTCTGAGCAGCAGCTAGTCAGGACCATGCTTAATGTCCTGTAAAACGATGATCCATGAGTGAAATGCTCTATGGTCCAGGTCTCCTCGACCCAAACTCTGCCAGTTTAGACTTCTGAACAAAACAGGACTTGAAGCTTTCTTAACATACAAGGAATCTGGGAGAAACATCCTAGCAGATGCCTCATTACAAACATGGGATACGTGGACCAACTTCCTTAGTGTTAAGAAGCTGTATAAAGCAGTGACTTGCTCTCCAAGTCCTTTGTGCCTTGGTTTGCAGATGAAGAAATGTGCAGTAGTAATGGTTTCTCCATATCTTCTCTCTTTTACAGCATTAAAGCACAAGTGCAGTCAACGGTGAGGAAAGCGTTGGGTGGCATTGCCTTCTCCCTGTCCACCGGGCTGTCCGTCAGTGTTTTTTTCCTCCAGTTCCTGGACTGGTGGTACTCCTCAGAAAACCAAGAGACAATCAAATCTCTGACAGCACTCCCAACCCCTCCGCCCCCCGTGCACCTCGACCATGGGGCCGGCTCGGCTCTCTTACCCAAACTGAAGACCGTGTGCCCTCTGTGCCGCAAAATTCGTGTCAATGCCACAGCCCTGTCCACCTCCGGCTTTGTGTTTTGCTACCGCTGTGCGTACGGTTACGTGAAGACTCACCAGCGCTGCCCCATCACAGGCTACGCCACAGAGCTGCAGCACCTTGTCAAGCTGTACTCTCCCGAGAGCTGAAAGGCCTGCCCCGTGCTTTCAGAGCGATGCATTTCCGAGGCTGGCGGCTAGGTAGCAGTGAGCCTAAATTCACCCTTTCTTATGTCCCGTAGAAAACTTTGAGCCATTGCAGCTCATCAGTAAGCTCTAGAGCTCCTTTGAACTTGGTGGCACATCAGAGTTTTGCTGCCTTTGCAAATTCTGGTCAGGCTCTCCCTTTTGTTTATTAGCTGTTCAAACATCTTGTGGCAGTTTCAGAGGGATCAGACAGCCACAGTCTGTCAGCCGGCACAGAAATGCCTTCAAAGACCAACTGAAAGGGAAGAAACCTTGATTTGGATAAGAAGAATGCAGATGTGAGGATCAGAGAGCATCTCTGGTAAAAGTCCTGCTCGAGGGCATGAGCCAGCAGATTAAAGAAGTAGGGAAAATTCTCTAGGCGAGTTATTCCTCCCTTAGCAGCTTCCCAGGCACTCGCGCTGCCCGGGGCGAGCTCTGGCACCAATGCTTGTCAGAGAGACAGAGACAGGCTTAACCCTCTCCTCGATCATGCTGTTTTGAAGACTCTCCCTGCATTTTCACACTACTCACCTTTGAGTTGAGAACATCACTCCCCAAATTCCCATCAACAGGTCTAAATTAAGACTTCTGACTCTTCAAAGAAACGAGGTGATGTGTACAAGCAGGGATACAAGAGGGAGATAACATTTGCTGCACAAGGGAGAAGAACGACAGACCAGATTAAAGCAGCAACTATGCCAAATGATGAGAGTTGATTTTTGTTAAATAAGTCTTTGAATCTGTTATTTCCTGCTTTTATAAAGCAAAATTATTTCTTGATTGAGAAACTAACATTTTTTTTTCTGAGGATTGCAAAAACCAGAATTTACTTCTCTGGGGGCTCTATTTACATAAGGGAGACTAGACTAAAGCTGCTTTCATATTTGCAGGTGATGAAAATGGATATAAGATTAGTATTTTGTAGGCTGGGAATCTTTAATGTCTGTGTTGAAGTATTCCATTGCAATTATTCCAGTCCCATCCACATAGCACATTCATATCATAACAAAGCATCCTTTCTTTGAACGGAGGAGAAAAGAAGAACGTGTGACATGGCTGGTTCTTCCTCGACACCTGGTTTTTCACAGCGGAAGGTTTTTTCCTGACTCAGCTCTAGGGAGCAGCAGTTAGCTACTCCAGACACCACAGTGACTGCTGATAGAACATGAAGAGCAAAGTTTGCTGCACAAAGTATGTGGTCTTGCCAGATTAAGAGATATGTTCTAATGTTTAATCCGCTGAACCAGCCATCTCATTTTCCCCCCACTTCAGCTCTGCTTCATAAGATAAAAATCTCTAATATCCTCCCTCACCTGTAAGCAAGATAGCAAGGTTATTGAATAATGTGGAAAAATAGCCATTTGCATCCTCCCAGAGATGCTGTGGAAAACCTCTCCTGTAACAAGTGAGATTTGTCCCCAGTGCTTGTTTTACTATCTCTGTACAGATTCCAGACCCTTCTACCTGTGCCACTATGGAATAATAATAAAAACTCTCATTTCTCCTCCTTCCAGTAGTTACAGGATCCATAAAGACACCTCTCTTCCTTTTGAAAGCCAGTAAGAGCACACGTTACTGGAAAAGAAATCACATCAAGGTGTGAGATTTGCTGAGATTTCAGATCACTTTTAACATAGTCATCTAGTCCATCCCTCCTGCCGAAGCAGGGTTACCTACAGCAGGATGCACAGGACCTTGTCCAGGTGGGTCTTGAATATCTCCAGAGAAGGAGACTCCACAACCTCCCTGGGCAACCTGTTCCACTGCTCTGTCACACTCAGAGGGAAGAAGTTCTTCCTCATGTTCAGATGGAACTTCCTGTGCTTCAATTTGTGCCCGTTGCCCCTCGTGTCACTTGCTACATCAGGTTTGCTTCATACACAGAGACTGTCATTTCTGTGAAGAGCCAGTATCCAGGATGCTCCGCTGCCGCACGGTCCTATAACTCCTCTGATTAGACAGACAGGGGCCTGACTGCCCTGTTGACTCTACTGCAACTGCTCATTTACATAAGGGCTGAAGGATCTGAGTGACAACTCAGTTTCAGGACAGGTTTATTTTCCTTTTATCCCTCCTATACCTTCTGAATTACCTGTCTGCTGCTCAGCGAGAAGCTGGGCAGACCTGGGGCAGAAGACTGACCGATGCTGACTTGCCAGCCAGCACTGCAGAGCTCTTAGGCAAGTTCTGCACCGTCTTCCCCTCTAATCCAGAAGGATTTGCTGACTGTGGATCACAAGTTGCTGATGGGGGCCTCTACACCTCCTTCTCCCAGGATTCATCTCTCCTCCTCTCCCCAGAACAGCCACCAGATCCCTGTCTGTCAGGCCCTCACTGCCCTCCATCCCCCTTCTCCCCAGACCGCCCTGCACAACACCTTGTCCCTGCCAAACGATTTGGCCAGCCCCACAGCAGCTCCCAGACCTGCACAGAACCACCCTCATCTCAGCCTCACAGTTCTGAACAGCTGTAATTACTCCCTCGAATGTTAAATCGCTCTTTAATGCCTAGCTGACTAACAGGCTTTAAGCCCACAATGGTGACAGGCTCAGAAGTTACTTGGCAGATTTTATTGGTGTTTGCAGATGGCTGCAGAATACCAACTTGGATTTGACTGCTTCTAACCTTCCTGTCTTTAGCAGCCAAATACATACCTGTTTATTTGGTTTATTGTCTAAAACAAAAGCTACAAAACCAATTCAGGTTATACAAACATTGCCTTTTATCTGCTTCTTAACTGCAATAGTGTTATTAAAGCCATGATGGTCTAAAGATAGACAGGAAAAGATTTTTCAAGGAACACCAACTTTATTCAACCAAACTCTGGACTTACATGACTGTATAGAAGTTCCCAGATTAGTATGTATCATATATGCATTCAAGATGCTTTGTTCTGTTGCTTAATACAATTACATGAATGTTAATGGCAGCACTGGAGTTGTACAATACATCACTGTCAGAACTTAAGTTTGTAAGTCCTTTAAAAAATGCTTAGTGAATTTAAGCCACACTCATGACTCATCCAGGCACTCTTAAAAAATCACTGCATTAGCAACTGAGTTGCTTTCCCTGCTTCCTTAACAGAAACCACGTGGGTTCTGTTAAGAGAAAACCACTGTAACTATACCCCTAGGTACACATTCCCCACAGAAGCTTCCTTCTCCACAGGAAGAGAGGAATGTAAAGCTGTCACCAAGACCTGGAAGAGAATAAAAACTAGATTAGAGAATAGCTCCATATTTTTTCTTGTACTTACTTGATTAGCCCAGGCTTTCCCCCCCAACCCCAAAAGGGCTGCACTTCATCCAGAACAGAGCACCAGAGCCAGGCTCTGCTTCCAAACTTCTGCAACTTGCTTCCAGAAATACTCCTGCCTCCGCGCTAGCAAGCACTAGATGAGAACACAGCTGAACCAACTGCTAATGAGGTGTCTACAGGAGAGACAGCTCAAACTCCATTTTACAGAGTCTGCATTGCATTTACAGAGAAGTGCCAGAATATCTGGAGTTTTGTAAGCCATGTCGCACACAGCAGAAAAAACAAGAAACCTCTCACTGCAAGCTCAGTACTAAACCCAGCATTGCAGCAAGATGCACAAATCCAAACAGGTATTTGCACTACTCACTTTTCAAATTAAGGTTTTTCTGCTGCTAAAAATTCTTAATATTATTTCAATAGTTTTTAGGGTGCATCAGAAAGTTTCAAGAAGAAAAGCTGTTTACTCTAGATGAGCTTAGCCTAAATAAGCTCAGAGAGAAGATTATGTGATCATGCCCTGGTCAAAGCAAAGACACAAAGTCTCAGCAATACCAGTTCAGAGTGTACTTCGCTCATCATTGCTTTGGGCAAACCTAATTCCATTCCATAAGGAGCTTGCTCCAAGTCAGGAACAAGAACAGAAAAGTGTGGGGGTTTTTTTCTGGAGGAGGAAAAACCCAACCAAAGACACACTTCCCCACCCCCAACAAACACAAAATAAGATGGGTTCTGGGTTAATTATTTTCAGGATCGCATGACTTTCTACAGCACAGAGTTTGTGGTGAGTTAACACTGACCCCTGGGAGATGAGACAGGAGGGGTTGTTACGAGACTGAAAAGCTGAGCCCTGATTTGCTATTTCTACCTTCCTGCACCCAGCTCTGTCACACGGGCAGCACAGAGGAGGTGGCACTTCGCACCCTCAGTATGGATGTAGCTTCTCCACACAAAGCCTGTGCGTTCAGCTGTGTGCATGCCAAAGCCATGCTGGTAACGTAACGCAGGCAAAAGCTGTTTCCCCTTCCCAAACACCATTAGCTGAGCCAGGGAAACACCTTTTTTCCTCCCAACACATCTATACACACAGGTCCCTTTTACTTAGGCAGGAGAGACTCCCAATAGGTGTTAATTAAAGATCTGGCTGATCTGCAAGCATGCAACAGATAAGAGGAACTGGTTTAAGTTTTATGCTCATCCATGAATTAAAGGTTTCGTTTTTTCTCCTTATTACTTCCTGCTGTTACAGGTAACAAGGGGATGAAGCACACTTGGCAGGAGGGCAAAGAAAGGGGAGGAGGGCAACATGTCTGATCAAACCACGCTGGAGCTAGGGAAGATAGGTCACAAGCTGGGATTCCAAGAAGGTGAAGGAGAGCCAATACCAGGCAAAAACAAGAGGAAAAAAACCTGTCATACCTATAAACGCTGCTGAGGCCGGTGGCTCTCCAAGGGCCCAGAGCCCTGTTTTGATCTAACACTCCCATCAGGCCATCCATTTGCACCCTATTTCCCATCTCCTTCCCGGCACTCTCCCCAAGCC